AACCCCTTCCCCTCCCGATTTGAAGCTAAGAGAGAAAGTTGAGCAAGCTTGTGAACAACTTCGCCACTTCACATTTGAAGAGGTTGAAAAGGTTGAAGAGGCGATCAATGATGGTCATATGGAGCCTAGAGGAACTTATCTCGGAGAGCTCCCATAGTGAGGATGACCAAGAGTGTCCTGTTGACGACTTCCACACCTTTCCATATCCCAATACCAACTTTGAAGAACAACTCACAATGGAGGTGGAGCAAAATGACATTATCAACAACCTTACATGGCAACTTACCTTTCAGTATGTACTTGTAGACAAGGATGGGACCAGTGAAAAGGAGGAAGCTCTTGATTGCTCCCAAGTGGAGGACCAATTTTTTTAAGAAAGAGGGAAGGATGGGGAGGCAATTGGTGTTCGTTCAATCAACGAGGTCGAGGTGGATGAACCTTCTACAAGTTACAAGTGATCTTCTATTTGCGGGATAAATTTAGAATGGGCAACTAGAGGATCTAGACATCAACCTAACTTAGGACTAGATAGAAGTACACTGAGTGATCTTCCCTCAATTGAATTCCAATCATTCTTGTTTTGCTTTACACTTTTAGTTGTTTAATCAAAACTACATCATATTAGCTATATCCACTAGTTAACTTAATCAAAACTACATCATATTATTTGTATCGACTAGTTCACCAAGCAGTAATAAACTTAGCAAACAGGTTGATAGATTAAACTTACTTGCATTACCAATCAGTCAGTGAAGTCACTAGTTCCTGTCACCAGAAATCTCCGAGGCCCAGAATAAAGGAAACACACAGGATTACATGATAAGGCGTCGGAGACCATGAGAATACCAAAATTTTAGATAACGGCAATCGGCAGTGAACTTCCTGGCTTGCACGCTGGAAATTGCCTAGTCCTGTTAGCTTCTCCCTCTCCCACCAACAACAAATCAACACCAAAGCTTACATGTGAATAACAGGACTACACCACCCATTTCCAGTCTAAGGTCTATTAGAAACCAGATGATTCGACCAGCGACGAATACGAGGCATCCTCATCCTCGTTTGATCTCGGCTTTTCGCCATGTGTCTTTCTAGATGCCCGATTCCCAAGCTTGAGTTTTCCAAGTCCCAGACCAGCCAATTTCCAAAAACTACAACTACGACTACATTGTTGATAAAGGATAAAGTTTGACATAATATGTCATGTTGGCTTTGGGAATCATTCTTCCATCTTCGTTTCTCCTATTTATAGCAAAAGGATGTAACCTCCTTGGGAACTACTAGCTAGTCGGACACTCCAACCACCTCGGGGACCACTCACCCCATCTTGGTATCTACTAAAGATTTGGTTGTTTCAACCGCCTCATGGACCCCTTGTCACTGCTTGGGTGACAGTTGGTGTAAGCTTGATGGCCTTGACTCTAAGCCAACATGGTGACCATTTGAACTTCACCATGTCTTTTTGCCTTGTCCTGACTAGATGATATTGAAGCCTATTTCTCTTGCCTTTATGATGTTGTCTTGATCACACCCCTCACGCCCTCAATGGCTCCATACTTAGCTTTTTTGTTCCTCTCGTCTTGCTGGCCACCTTGATGTAATCATCTTATCGTCTTGGGGCCACTACCACCTTGATGTGAAAGAGCCCCTTCCATGCCGACCTAGTACCACCTTATCCTTGTAAGCCTAGCCACCTCGATGAACCGTCTTGTTAGTTAGGCCTGGTTAACCATTTTGACGAGATGAAAATCTATCTCTTTTCCCCAAAAAGGCTCCACACCTAATCTTGGGGAGCTCATCATGGTGCCAACTTGTCATCTCAGTATTAAGCCCATCTTGTTTGGCTTAATACCCTACTGCCTTATCGATAAACCAGTCTAACCATCTTGTTAGCTAGACCATCCCGTCGACTTGATACCCCATCAACTTGCCACTAAACCCGTGTTTCCAACTTCGTCTCCATATAAGAGGCTCGCCACCAAGCCTTCGTCAAGTTGATAACCTATTAGCTTGCCAACTTGGGATATCAAACCCGCCTTGCTAACTTGTCAACTAGTCTACCTCATTGGAGTGATACCTTCCGCCTTGTCACCAAAGCCCATTTTGTAAGCTTGGGGTTCCATACTTACTCTTGACAAGCTAGGGATTTTCGTATAACCCTTGTCGATTTGGTACCCTGTGAGTAGGGGTGGAAATCGGGCTGGTATCGGTATCCCAATACCGAATACCGAAATCCCGAATACCAAATTACACCCTAAAGTCAATCTCAATCACAATCACTATTCCTAAATAGTTTTGGTATCTCAATCCCAGTCCCTAAATATTTCAGTATCTCAATCGGTACTTTGGTATCCCGATCGGTATTATCGAATACGAAATTAATTACTTTTGCAATTAATACATACATATATAAATTATATTTGATTGTTTAATTTAGGGCAAAGAGACTAAACAAAGAGTCTTGAGTTTGCCTAGAGCTAGAATATGGATAAAGAGAATGGAGGAGAGGTGACATCTCGAATTCTTGTCATTGGTAATCTTTAATTTGACGAATTGGAGATTGAGAGACGACTAATACTAGTGTTTTCTTTTTGCTGTTATGAAAATAACAAGAGATTAGGTGAGAGACGAGAGTGACTTAAACTGGAAAGTCAAAATTGAGTTTGATGGGAGCTTTAAGTCGTGAAAGAGTGTGGAATGACTAAAGGTTGTGTGCTATATTTCATTAATTGTTTATTTTCGGTATTTCTCGTTATTTCGGTATATACCGATCCCAATCCCGAATACCGAATATCACTCCAAAATGAATCACAATCCCTAAAAATAAGCCGATATTCGGTAATACCAAATAGTGATAATTCGGTATGGTATTCGGTATATCACGAATACCGGTACCAAACTTCTAGCCATACCTGTGAGTAGGGGTGGAAATCGGTATGGTATTGGTATCCCAATACCAAATACCGAAATCCCGAATACTGAATTTCACCCTAAAATCAATCCCAATCCCTAAATAATTTCGGTATCCCAATCCCAAAATATTTTGGTATCCCAATCGGTACCTCGGTATCCCAATCGGTATTATCAAATACAAAATTAATTATCTTTGTAATTAATAATTAAATATATAAATTAGATTTTATTGTTTAATTTAGGACAAAGAGACTAAGCAAAGAGTCTTAAGTTGCCTAGAGCTAATATCTCAAGTTCTTGTAATTGGTAATCTTTAATTTAATGAATTTGAGGTTGAGAGACGACTAATACTAGTGTGAAATAGTGACAGAATGATCTATGTATAATTGAATGACACTCTTGGTAGTTGAGGGTCGGCTAGTAGTGAATGAGAGAGTCTAGTTCAAAGGATAAATTACGAACTAGCTTATATTTTGGTATTGATCGGTATTTTGATATTATCCCGATCACAATCCTATAATCCCTAATACTGAATAACAACTGAAATTCAATCCCAATCCCAATCCCACAAAATAATACGTGTATTCGGTAATACCAAATATAGACAAATTCGGTACGGTATTCGGTATATCCCAAATACTGGTACCAAACTTCCAGTCCTACCTGTGAGCTTGCCACCAAGCCTATCCTCTCGACTTGATCTTAATACTTAGTTTGTGAAGTCTCATCAAACTGATAACTAGATACCCTAACGACTTTGGACCCTACAAGCATGCCACCAAGCCCATCTTGATGGCTTGATCTCCATACTTAGTTTTTGGAGCCTTAGGAAGTGGGTACTTTACCATCTTGTCGGCTTGGAACATTGTTAGCTTGCCACCAAGCCCGTCCTGCTGGCTGATCTTCATGCTTAATTTTTGGAGCCTCATTAAGCTATTACCTTGTTGCCCTGCCGTTTGGGGACCCTGTAAGCTTGCCACCAAGTATGGCATGTCGGTTTGATCTCCATACTTAATTTTGGAGCCTCATCAAGCTCATACCTTATCTCCCTGTCATCTTGGGACCCTGTCAGCTTGCCACCAACCTCGTCATGTCGGCTTGATTCCATACTTAATTTTTGGAGTCTCATCAAGCTGGTTATTTGTCACTCTACCAGCTTGGGACCCTGTGAGCTTGCCACCAAGCATGTCCTGATGGCTTGATCTCTACTTAGTTTTTTAGAGCCAAAGTTCATACCAACTATTTTGTTACACGTTTGCCGGCCGAACCTGGTCGACCGCCTATGCAAGGAGAGGAGGTTTCCGTTTGTTAAGACCACAATGGATCGATCAGCCACATAGGCCATGAAGAGGGAGTTTAGCATTCGCCGCTTAGGCCCAAAAACCAACCCAATAAAGACCAACTAGCTCATTTAATGTTTAATGTTAAGCTAGCCTTAAAAAGTTACTAAGTCCTTTGAAATTAATCAATGTGAAACAGAGTTAATTTCTAGGGTAAACTTGTAAGTAACACATTAAGAAAATCCCACATCAACAAAGCGTGAAAGAGATCTATGATTTATAAGGAATATCTAACCTTAACTGACATGATGCGCTTTTGGGTGAATGGATGAGTTATTGTGAGAATTATCAAGTTAAACGTCTTAGTGTGAAGCAATGCAGAGATAGGTGACCTCCTAAGAAGCCACTATGATATGCATAATATCTTGGTCATGAAAGGTCGGAATGTTACACAATAGTTTCTCAAAAAATATTTTTTTATTCAAAAATGGTATTTTGCCTATATGAAATAGTTGAATCACGATCATGCCACAAAATACCCTACCTCAGAATTGTCTGATATGATCTTGGGTATAGTTTTACAAACCATGGATCTAGGTTGCTAACCCGGAGTTCGACCCGGACCTGGTGGGACAAACGGACGCAACACTCCTATTTTGGACTTTGCTCGGATTCGCCGCTCTCGCTTCAACCCAATCAAAATCCGGTAACTCAAGGTTCAACACGGACAAAACCAGTCAACGACTTTTCATTTCAGAAGGCCACTTTGCTTGGTTTTCACGTATAAACTAGTATTTTAGTATATCATATTGTTGGATGCCGGATGAGAATTGATATAATTCATAGATTTGGATCAGAGATTAGAATAATCCAACCATTAGCACTGACGAAGTTATTCCATTGGACCAACCGACTAAACAACCCTGTCATGATACACCTTGATGTGCGCGACACTAGCTTTCCCACCTAGAAAAGCTGAATAGTGAGTGGGCAATTATTTATTATTCTAGTTTCGCACCCGCCGTTCGGTGACTCCCCAAATCACCATGTTTTGGCGTCACCTTTAGCTTTAAGCGAACTGCCAATGTCATCCTTCCGCCCCAGGCAACGCCAACATGCTAGACAGTAGTGTAGTGCAATAAGTTAGTAGTGGGAATGTGACTCTTTGTTTTTTGGGTTGTCTTGGCTCCCGCAGTCCTACTTTAGCCTGCTCTGTAGAACGAGTCGTTCGTTACTGATCTCTTTTCGGACGCACTCGCTCTCTCTTTCAAGATTTCTCCATCTTCTTCTCGAGGTACGAGTTTAGGTTTTTCCCCCTTAATATTTTGCTTACCTTGACGGCGGCGCTGCGAGAATTGAAGCGCACCGGTGATATTTTTTTCTTCTGTTCATTCATATATATATATAGCCTTCTGCCACACCATAGATGGGCTCAGTACGCAATTCAATCTAACGATTTGCTCGTGCGTTTCCATTTCCAAGCTTCAGAAATGTCGACGATTTGGCGGAGAGGGATACACTATTTGGAGAGGCTGAAAGCCGCCAATATTCCCAACGAGTTGATCGAGAATGGCCAGAACCGAGTGATAGACGCTTCCCTCACTCTAATCCGCGAGAGAGCAAAGCTCAAGGTACCGCTCTAATCGATCCCGTTTTCATTCCCTTGGCCGGGGATCTCGTATCCACGGTGCTGTATTGTTTGATTGAGAGATGTTAATAATAACAACAACAATAATAATAAAAATTACTGTTATAGCTAGGGTGAGTTCGTAATGTTTGAATGCTGGATTGTTGTACAGGCGGAGCTTCTGCGTGCTTTGGGAGGTGTCGTGGCATCTGCTTCTCTGCTTGGAGTGCCACTGGGACATAACTCTTCATTCCTTCAGGGCCCAGCTTTTGCTCCTCCTCGAATTAGGGAGGCCATATGGTGCGATAGCACCAATTCAACTACAGAAGAAGGTAGCTCAGTTACCCTTCCTCTTTCTTTTTACTTTTTCTTCGGTGGAAGCACCAAAGAAGACCCTTTTGCTTCTAGTGATTTATGGACTTTGTTGATCTAGAATTCTTAGTTCTTCAACACACATCATTTGGCAGTTATGTGATGTCTAAATCACTTGTTGATGATTGTGGAACTACAGGGGGGAGGGCTGGAATTTTTGCTAGCCCTCGTCACCCCTGATATCCATTCCCTCAACTTTTACTACTCATCTCATAGGAGTCGGAACTCATTAGGGACTGTTAGCTCCAAAGTGAATACTCAATTCTTCTGTTGCTTGCTCGTTGAGTCTCATCTGGAAAGTATTGTAGACTGTTTTTTGGTTAGAAATGTTCGTGTGAGACGATGTGGTTTGTGGGCTAAATGCAGGGAAAGAATTGCACGATCCACGGGTTCTGACTGATGTTGGTGATGTCCCTGTGCAAGAGATCAGAGATTGTGGTGTGAATGACGACAGGTTAATGAGTGTCATCAGCGACTCTGTCAAGCTTGTGATGGAAGAGGTGATTGATCTTACCCTTCCTGACTCTATTTCCATAATAAGAGCATATCAGTCTTTATGGCCTGCGTTTCAAGTAATATTAGCATGCAAAAGTTATGATAATGCTCTCTAATCAAACCTTTTTCCTCAGAAAGGCTTCATGATTTGGTTTTACCTGCAGAGCAATGCTGGTGTTATTTCTTTTCCATCTTGCGTTTGAATTGGACGAACTTGAACTGTACTTTCTCTTCAGGCGGAAAATTCATGATGTTGATGCCTAATCAAACATTTTCCTCAAAAAGGCCTCATTATTCGAACATGTGATTTGGTTTTTTCTGCAGAGCAATGCTGGTGCAATTTCCTTTCCACCTTGCGTTTGAATTTGATGAAATTGAACTATACTTTCTCCTCAGGCACCATTACGGCCATTGGTTTTGGGTGGCGATCATTCAATATCGTTTCCAGTAGTGAGAGCTGTTTCTGAGAAACTTGGAGGGCCAGTAGATATCCTTCATCTTGATGCTCACCCGGATATCTATCATTCATTTGAAGGAAACAAATACTCTCATGCGTCTTCATTTGCCCGGATTATGGAAGGGGGTTATGCTCGCCGACTTCTCCAAGTAGATCCTGAACCCTTCTGAACTGTCTTTCTATTCCTGCAAACAGTTTTTGATCTTCTGAGCTAAAGAATTTTTTGTATTGACATCAACACGATTGTTGTCTTGTCTTTATAGGTGGGCATAAGATCAATTACGAAGGAAGGTCGCGAACAAGGCAAAAGGTTCGGAGTAGAACAGTACGAAATGCGAACTTTCTCTAGAGATAGAGAGCTCCTCGAAAATCTGGTTCTTCTCTCCCTATCTCCCTCTCCCTCTCCACTTGTTTATGCATAAGTGATTGCGGAAGTTTGAATTTTTGAAAACTGGTCTCGTTCAACAGAAACTGGGGGAAGGGGTGAAAGGCGTGTACATCTCAATAGACGTGGACTGTCTGGACCCTGCCTTTGCTCCTGGTGTTTCTCACATAGAGCCAGGGGGTCTCACTTTCCGCGACGTTCTCAACATCCTCCACAACCTTCAAGCCGATGTCGTGGCTGCAGATGTAGTGGAATTCAATCCACAGAGAGACACAGTTGATGGAATGACCGGCATGGTTGCTGCTAAGCTGGTCAGAGAATTGGCTGCAAAAATTTCCAAGTGATAGAAAACCTCTCGACCGGGCTGGCTACTAGGACAAGATATTCTGTGATTTTTGGTGTCAGCCTTGCTGCTGAAGAAGCCCCGCAGTAAGACTGTAAGAGTTGTAACTTGTACGTGTTTCATGACATGACCCATGCACATTGTTGTTTGTCCCCTAATGGCGTGGAAGATCAACTTTGAGTAAACATTCTGGTATCTCAGAGTCTCAAGAAGCTGAATAAAGTTTAAAATATCTATTGGCACTGATGTTTAGCTACTTGATTTTGCTATTTTCTTTATCACTGGCGCAGAACCGGCCGGATGAGGTTAATACGATGTATTTGTTATTGGTATAAGTTTGGCGCAGGATGACCTAAAGTGACAACTTAGTGCGATTTTTTCCCCAGTTTAGAAGAATTGTAGATCCAATACCTATTTTAGGTTCACAACCCAAGTACAAACCATCTTGCAAAAATCAAAACTATCTAAAACCGCAGGCAACAAAGACAGGGTCTTCCTAGCCACCTCATGGGCCACCCGATTGTTAATCCTGCCAACAAAGGCCATCTCAGAACGCCGATACTGATGTCGGATCTGCATAATTTCCTCAAGAATACGTCCTCCCTTCACTTCTCGTACATCTATCTTCGGAATTTTCTCGATGACGGCCTTCGCATCCCCATAAAATTGCACTTCAACAAGACCCTTCAAAGAGCACCACCGAATCGCATCACGAAACGCCACCAATTCCACCAGAAATGGATCCACCAGTTATGCATAATCAAAACCTTGCACAAAACAAACAGTCCTCAACCCGTCACAAACCACCAACCCCCCCAGCACCATGTGAACCAGGGAGATAGCGCCATCAACATAACACCGAAATGGAAAGGGCGCCTGAGCCTGCTGTCCCTAAGACCCACCCACCCGCACACGGAGCTGCTGCATGTGGCCTGGACGCCCAGAACCGGCCTCGACCAGCGCCAACCATTCATAAACCTGCTCTTCATACTATCTCACTAGTGTATCCACACCATACTGGATATGATCAAAGACCAACCAATTCTGACTCTTCCATATCCTCCACAAAAGAGCTACAAACCTGACCACCCTCTCTACTCTAGCATCCTGCTCAAGAAAGCGCCGAAGTAACAAGGAAAAATTCGGAGGAGGTGCACCACCTGACCAACATCCAAGCCCGACCTCTCCCACAACGTTGTCGCCACCCGACAAGACAGAAACATGTGCTCCAGAGACTCCAAGGGTGCCCAACACACCGGACACTTAGGGGAGATAGAAGAATCATCATCGGGATCCATTCCTACATCACCTGGCACTCTACCACTCTTCTCCACTATAGCTTCCATGGTAGGAAGGACTTGTTTCATAATCTGCCACAAAAAACATTTCAACTTCGGAGGAATGTGAAACCCCCACATCATTTTCCAGAAAGCCATATCAAAGAAGGGGACCTCAGCCTTCCAATCCTGTAATTTCCTATCTCAATGGAAAGCTAGGTGATATCCAGATTTCATAGTGTACTCCCCATCTCCCTCGTAGGTCCAGACTTGTTTGTCCTCTGCCTCTCCTTTCGGCAACGATATGGCCTGAATAGCCCGCACTACCATCCTTGGAAAGCACAGGTTAAGGCAATCTGTACACCATTCCCCCTTATCGGAAATGAGCAATGAATCTACCGTCATCCCCAATAGGTTACGCGCCGAAGCATTAATCTCAAGCTCATCCGACCAAATGCCCAAAATCCCGTTATAATCCAAGATCCTAACCTGAGATCCCTCCCCAATCTGCCAACTAAGTCCCTTGAGCAGCAAATCCCTCCCATGGAGATACTAGTCCACCCCCAAGAGGGTCTGGAGCGGCGATTCGTAGTGAGGATAGAAGCCTGTGGAAAATACTTTCCCTTCAACACTCTAGCAAGCAGCGACTCTGGTTCCTTCCAGATTCTCCAAGCCACCTTTGCCAAAAGAGCTTGATTAAAATTTTCAAACCGACGGAAACTTAGACCACCATCAAATTGACTCCTGCACAAATTTCACCATGACACTCAGTGAGCCTTATCTTTCTCCGTCGAGAAACCCCACCAAAATCTTGCCATGTACTTATCCAGGTTACGACATAAAGTCAACGGTAAGAGGAAGCAAGACATGACATAAACCGGAAGAGCAGCAGCTACCGCCTTCAGAAGTACTTCCTTCGCCGCCCAGGACAGTTTTTCCTGTTTCCACCCTTGGAGCTTGGCCAAAAGCCTCTCCTCCAGATATCTAAACGTTTCCGTTTTCGATCGCTGGACCAGTGATGGGAGCCCCAGGTACTTATCCTGAACACCAATCGCTCCAACTCCTAAAATGGCCACCATCTCTACCCCGTCAGGAGGATCCACATTTTCACTAAAACATACAGCCGATTTACTCAAATTAACCTTCTGACCGCTCAAATCCTGATACTCCTTCAAGAGCTCAAGCAAATTTTCACACTCTCTCTTGGATGAATGTGTGATGATTTATGGATGATGGTATTAAAGTAAGGGAACCCCCAGGCGGTTAGATAACTACTGGTCGCAATAGTTTATCGGGTCACTACTAGACGGCGATACGTAACGCAGTAGTTGACCGGGAATGGTACTGGACATCGATACGTAACGCAGACCATTTCTTTAGAGAGAGGGACACCGGACGGCGATACGTAACACAATGGTCTCTAGTGTTTTGTGTATGAGTTAAGGATAGGAGTAGAGAACTCCTATAAGTTAATTAGAGAATAAGTTATAAAGGGTGGAAGCGAGAACGACTTTCACGTAAGAGTGGAGATTCTAATAACGTTAAATATTAAAGAAATGCTTAAGGCGCGACCTTAGGTGTTAGTAACTACGAGACTAACACTTCTCACTCACCAAGTAGAGGAAGGGTTAGTGGATGTGTATCTCAAGAAGTGGTAGGGCAAGGCGAGCAGCTGCAGCAGCATTGACGAGATCTCAGAGAGCTTAGTGAGGAACTAGAGTTAGAATTGTTTAATTATTTATATTCCATAGTTATGAGTATAGACTCTACATACTATTGTTAACTACTATAACCACCAGCCCACAAATCCACGTAAAATAGGGATGGCAAAAATATCCGTAACCGTGGATATCCGCCCGAACCCGACCTAATCGGGTAAGGTAAAACCCGAACCCGAAGGACATTTAGTGGGTACGCGTAAAACCCGAACCCGAATATTGCGGGTAATGGGTGGGCATGGGTTTCTGAGTATCCAACCCGAACCCGCCCGATTATACACATACATATGTATTTTGTCTAGAAATAGCCATTATTTTTCTCTAACATATTTTATATTTACCATATAAATATAATATTTTCATGAAATTGTGTTGTTTTAATTAATTTTCTTCATTCTAGTGAATTATTGTCATACTTTTCCTCTTCCGTAATGTGAGAATACGTGTGAATGTTAATATATTAGTTAGAGTTATGAAGAGAAATCATTACCCATGGATAACCATGGATACCCGAAACCCGAACCGGTATGAGCATGATTTTAATTTTCTACCTGTTTCATATGTGGGTATGGGTATGGATAAAACCCGAACTACTTTGGGTAGGGTAACGGATATGCACTATCCATCCCCGACCCGACCCATTGCCATCCCTAACGTAAAAGCCATATTATGATCCACTAGTCTCGACTAGTCCACAATATTACTTGGCAGGTCACTTCACAAGATTAACTGTAACACACTTTTGTTCTCGATATGCTTCTTTTTTATTCAATCTTTCTTCTCGTTTCATCACACATTTCTATTGTAATTGATGTGGATGAATGAAAGTAATATGGATGGATTACAAAAAAAATTGAAAGAACAAATATAGAACACAAACACAATTACATGTACAATTGTATTAATGTGGATAATCTAATATGCGTCCTCATTACATGGGGATAAACATCTCATAGAGAGAAATAAATTAGAGATGAATGTATTAAGCGGTATATCTTTTCAACTCGGACAATGTTTTTAACGAAGTATGATCATTCGTTCTTGAAAGGAAAGCTCTAACAGAATAGAAAGAGCCCATTCGTGTGGTAGTCCTTTATGTTTGTTGCACCAAGATTTGACAGTGACCAACTATCCTATAATCAATCATATGAAACGTGAAGCAGATGGGTGGTAGCCTGATAGCATATGCTTGGACTTGGAGGGTCCCGCCCGCATACGCCCCCTCGCTAAAAAGCGGAAGCAACTCGGGCCAACCATTTCTAGTACCTTTTCCGATAGTCTTCAGTCCTTTCTACGCAAGGACTGGAAATAAATAACATCAAATGAAGCTAATTCCAAATCTCCCTTGCAACAAACGTACACAATAATGACACATTACAGAATCGAAGTCCATACTCTTCCTCAGTTCAAGAATATGTCAATAAAAAGAAAAACTCTCGTTCTACCCTTTTCCTTTACTTCCTACCACTGCTTCATCAGAAGCACAGAAGAAGAAAAACCCAGGAATCCCCGCAGAGACTCCCCCATCGTCTTATTTCAAACCAAAAGTGTTAACCCAGAAGCGAAATAACCCACCGAGAGGCCAGACAAGTCGTAGCCCTCACAGCTCAGCAAAGCTCTTTGGCAGCAGCAATCACAGCCTGTGCCGTTATGCCAAGTTCCTTGTACAACACAGGTGCTGGGGCACTTGCTCCGAAGCTATCAATCCCAATAGCCTTTCCTTTGCTCCCAACCATCCTTTCCCACCCAAACGTCGAAGCAGCTTCAATGCTCACTCTGGCTGTCACATCTTCAGGCAGCACACTCTCCTTGTACTCAGCTGATTGCTCCCCAAAAAGCTCCCATGAAACCAGCGAAACAACTCTCACAGCTTTGCCTTCCTTCCTCAGCTCATGTGCAGCCTCAACAGCCAGCTCCAGCTCCGTACCAGTTCCCATCAAAATCACATCAGGCTTGTTATCAGAGGAGTTGTCGGAAACTATGTATCCTCCCTTCTCAACACCTTCGATGGAAGTTCCAGCAATCAGTGGAACCTTCTGCCTTGAAAGTGCAAGGACAGATGGTCTCTTCTTGTTGAGGACAGCAACCCTGTATGCGCCAGAAGTTTCATTGCCATCAGCTGGACGGAGCATGAGGACATTAGGCATGGCACGGAAGCTCGCCAAATGCTCTATTGGCTGATGGGTTGGGCCGTCTTCCCCAAGACCAATGGAATCGTGGGTCATGACGTAGATGACCCGAGACTGACTCAGGGCAGAGATTCTTATTGCTGCTCTCATGTAGTCTGTGAAGACGAAGAAGGTGGCACAGTAGGGAATCATCCCAGGGCAGTGACGTGCGATGCCGTTGCAGATGGCTCCCATGCCATGCTCACGGACACCAAACCGAATGTTGCGTTCTTCAGGTGTGTTTTTTTGGAAGTTTCCAAACTTCTTCATCAAGCTCAAGTTGGAAGATGCGAGGTCTGCACTTCCACCAACAAAAGCAGGCAAGACATCTGCTAGATTGTTTATGTTTTGCTGAGATAGAACTCTAGTGGCATCACCTGGGCTATCTGGAGCATAGGTCTGCAAGAAAAAAGCAAGAATAAAAGTATTAGAACAAGATTGAATAACCTAAACTGTACAATAAAAAAAAAAGGCATCTCGATAGAACAACCCAAAACCACATATGAAATGTGCACCACATGGAGTAATGCTTACTGGAAGTGCTTTCTCCCAACCAGCAGGTAGTTCACCAGTGATTATAGACTTCAGCACATCAGCCTCTTCCTTGTACTTCTGCTCATACGCTGCAAATTTCTCATTCCACTCAGATTCAAGGGAAGCTCCCTCCGGGATATGGCGACTCCAGTGCCTAAGTAAAAGCAAAGCCACATAGATGCAGCAGTTTGATATCATTGGATGACATTGCCAATTCCCACAACAGATGCACCAAAACATAGTTAACTTACTTCTTAACATCATCGGGGACATGGAAAGGCTCGTGTGGCCATCCAAGGAACTTCCTCGTGGCATCAACTTCCTTGGCACCTAATGCACTCCCATGAACAGCATATGAGTTTGACTTATTTGGAGACCCATACCCAATGGTTGTAGTAATCTGCAAATAGCGGAAGACATGTCGTATATATTAAAGCAGAAAGGTGGGAAGTAAGAGAATGGCTTCAGCCTCAACATAGTTAGAAAATATGGAACCTTTATCATAGTTGGCTTGTCTTTAACAGACTTGGCCTCCTTAATAGCAGCACGAATCTCATCATATCCATTGTTTCCGTTCTTCACCCAGATCACGTGCCATCCGAGGGCCTCAAAGCGCTTGCTAACATCCTCAGTGAACGCAATTTCAGTGTCCCCATCAATAGAGATATGGTTGTCATCATACAAAGCAATTAGTTTGCCAAGTCCCCAGTGACCAGCGAGGGAACAAGCTTCGTGGGCAACACCTTCCATTTGACAACCATCTCCCAATATGCAGTATCTATACAGAAACAAAAACAAAAAAGACAGGGGAAAGAAAATACCAAATTAGCATATCATGTAATGACAAAGAAGCTTCACCATCTAAGCCAGGTTCGAGAACGTTTGGTTCCATACGTGTAATGGTCAACGATCTCACAATCTGGCTTGTTGAAGCGTGCAGCCAAGTGCTTTTCCGCCAGTGCCAAACCCACTGCATTGGCAATTCCTTGACCAAGAGGACCTTCATATAGGCACACGCACATTTCTTCAGGTTAGCCATTACTATCACCTCAGCGAAAAAGTACAGAGAGCTAAACAAGCACAAAATACATGAGAAACAAAATAGGGTTTGCAGAAAAGATCGAACCAGTTGTCACTTCAACACCAGGAGTCTCAAAGTTCTCAGGGTGACCGGGAGTTTTGCTTCCCCATTGACGGAAGCTCTTTAAGTCCTCCAACTACAGAAGGATCAAAAAGAAGATAAAAGTAAATTAAAAATCGACTCAGCGGACGGAACAGTTGATTAACGCTTTGGGTTTGAGCTTGATCGCCAGATCCACTTGCTAAGAAGGGAGGAAATCGACCAGAGACCCGAAACAGGACGGAAAAGAACAAATGAAATGAAAAAAATGAAAAAAAAGGTACCTTGCAGCTGTCATAGCCAGCGAGGTGGAGCAGAGCATACTGCAACATGCAGCCATGGCCAGCGGACAAAACGAAGCGGTCGCGATTGAACCAGTAAGGGTTCTTAGGGTTAAACTTGAGGAACTCGTCGTAGAGAACATGGCCCATCGGAGCACAACCCATGGGCAGACCCGGGTGGCCCGAATTTGCGTTCTCGACGGCATCGACAGCAAGGAACCTGATGGTGTTAACTGAGTTATCAACCAAGGAAGTCTCGGCGGGGGCGAGGGTCTCAATGGCAGCTGCGCGGATTTGACGCTGGAGGAGGCGGCGACGAAGGGGGGCGAAGGGGATCTGAACGGGGGAAGAAGAAGCGGATTTGAGGCCGGAGAAAGTGGGGAGCGGTGAAGCGGCGGAGAGGCAGAGACCGGGGCGGTGATCTGAGGAATGAGAAGCAGGGGCATGGTGGGAAGCGGATCGGGCCAAAAGGGAGTTAGAGAGGGAGAGAGAAGAAGTTGACGCCATTGTTGTTCAGAGCGGTGGCCTTTGATCTGGGTGGAGGGATCAAACTTCTTGGCCCTCTATTAATGGCTGTCTCTTGCCTTGGGAGCTCTGTTTTCTGTTTAACGTAAATAAATATGAAATGATGCTTTGGGAGGCGACTGGCGAGGGAGGGTAGGTGTGTGTTCTTCTGTCTTGTGTAGCCAGCCAAGCCAAGTCCAACTCAACAACCACCGTTTTCATATTTTTTGGAGTAAAATCCAATTTCTTTTTTGGTTTCTTTCTCATTGTTTAGTTTATTTATGGGGCGTTTTCAGCACTTTCAACAACTTCTGACGACGATTTTCGAACTCCACGTCCACAGCTACAAACAGAGGTGGCCGTCCGATACTCCCAAAGGCTCCAGCATCCTAACCGTTGAGACCGGAGGCGGAGAGGCAAATTTTTTTGTACTAAAAGCTAATCCTTTTTTTTTGTCTAAATTACCCTACATGTTTGATAATTCATTTTATTATTTTTTTTATATTTATCATCGAAAATGTTTTCTGTTCTTATTAATCATTCACTTTTAGATTTCATTTCGCAACGTTAATTGTTTACAGTTAAACTCCATCCCTAATTCGCCGCTTCAAGCAAGAGACATTCTGTTACATCGAGGACGAGGTTTCAAAACGATTAAAAGGTTGGAAGAGACGATGTCTCTCCTGGCAGGTCTAGAAATAGAAACGCTAATTAAGTCGGTGGTTTCGGCTATCCCGATCTACACTATGTCATGTTTCTGTCTACCCAAAGAACTTTGTCGCAATATTAATCGTTTGGTCGCCCGTTTCTAGTGGGGCCAACAAGGTGCCGAACGACGTCTACCATGGGTTTCTTATCGTCTTCTTTGTCAGCCAAAGTTGGCGGGTCGTTTAGGCTTTCGTGATTGAGTCTTTCAACCAAGTGTTATTGCCCTATGTTAAAAAAAAACAAGTGTTATTGACAAAACAATGTTGGCGCATTTTATCTAAGCCCAATTTACTCTTTTCTCGTGTGCTCAAGCCTCAAGGGACGGTATAACCATTCCACGTCAGTGTTTCCACCATGGTATGCTCCAACCCCTCTTGGGCATGGGAATCCATGCTTCATGGAAGATCTCTATTGAAACAAGGCTTACGATGGGAAGTTGGTGACCGTTCCTCCATTGATGCGTTAAATTATGCTTGGGTACTGACCTGCCCCTCCTTACGGCCTACATGCTTACCAACAAGTCCATCTTCACCTCAATTTGTTTCCTACTTCATCAAGCCTTCTTCTTCCTCTTGGAGTTTATACCGACTCCACGAATATTTTGATGATGTCTCTATCCAGCTAGTGATCTCTCTCCTAAGAAACGAATCAAGGGGTGAGGCTAGGAACTTCGATTTGCATGATTTAGTCACGTGTTTGCTTGGGGACAAGCAAACGTCTAAGTCTGGGGCATTTGATAACTCTTAAAAATATGTAATTTGGCATTCATTGCTTAGGTGTTTCCATGGGGATTGAAGCATCCAGAGAGAAAGTGAACCTTGAATTAGCCTATAATTTCTTCCTATTGCATATTCATGATCTTCTAGGTGGCATTTCAATATTTGAGTGTTATTATAAAAAAAAAACTCCAAGCACATGTGTGGAACAAGAGGCAAAATGAGGCAGAAATGGAATATCACAACCACCAAGATCATGATCGCAAAGATGTCAGGGAGCAAACATATCATTGTAGGAGCAAACATACCCCCGCCCTTCATGGGGTACTACTTTAATGTACCTAGGGCTTTGGCACCAAATCCTAACCTAGGGTTTGATATGTAAATGATTGAGTATTGTTAATTTATGGTTAAATTGTGTTTATCTAGTGTCGTTAGTGCTTCTATCTTTGTTTGGGTGTGTGAATGAATCTCTAGCATGATCTATCCTTAGGTTGCCTTAGGTTATTTCTTTCGAATGAATTCCTCTTACCTAAGATAGTTGATTTGGAGTTCTAATTGGTGGATGTGGGGACCATCTCCTGCCAACTAGGAGCTCACCTAGGTAATGCTTATGACACAAGTGCATGCCCATTGACTTGTAGAACTTGTGTGTGGACGCGTAGAACCCTTTTATAGGAGGTAAATCATCACCCCTAGTCATGCAAGCCGGTTGTGGTGACATTGGACCATTGCAGGTGGTGAGGGTAGCTCGCCTCGATAATGCAGTTAAATCACGATTCTGCATAAAAATGTTTTACTCACAGAGAAGCATAAAAACATAATATTTTAAGCGTAGATTTTGACTAAACTTGTAAGTGAAAATTTTGATTCTACATAGAATCATTTTGGTGAGTAGTGACCTAGAAGTGTAAAAGTGTAAGCTTTTAAGCTTTAAAACGCGATTTTGACTGCATTGCTCATCGAGTATTGCTTCTCTCATATTGTTCTATAGCATTAGCAATTCCTTAGTACAATAAACAAATAATCATTCATTAGATAATATGATGCGATCATGCTTAACCCTTATGATCTTATTCGGGGTCAAATAATCTCTTCACATGAACCATGAGCCAAGAGACGAATTAAGAGGGCCAAAGAGAGTTTGGGAGCATTTAAGATGGGTAAAAATGGCTTTACCAACAAAACATACGAGTTTATTCAAGTGAAATTGAATGCCAACATATATAGTTCTCGGGGTCCAAAAATAAGATTCGACTACGACAGTAGATGGCATGGAAATGGAAGGGAAAATTGGTGCCCTTTTGTGAAAAGGAAATGGTGGGACGTGGGGAGCAAGTCTTCCGGAGCGGACATAGAGACTAGTGTGCGGCAGCGTGTTGGAGTTTGTTTAATTTTTTTGTTTGATTATTGTTTTAATTGTCTAGGATTTTAGTTAGTAGTTTTAGTCCTTATTTAATTAGTATTATGTTTTCTACTTAGTTTTGGATTTGTTTTCCTATTCCTAGAAGGTTAGTTTTATGTTTTTGTGACCTCTATAAATAGAGGGTGTAAGAGCTACGAATTTTATACCCAATATTCAAGTTATGAGTTAAAGATTTTTTACTCGTGTTCCTTTGTGTAAGTTTGTGCAAGACTTCTGTCGAAGATTCCAGGAGATTGTACGTGTATCTTATCAACTAGAGATCATGTCTAGTTGTACGGGAGCATCTACCATATATCAATTGCTCCTTTCTACGAGTTGATTTTGTTCGATTGGTTTAATATACCAATTGCCTTTGTCATGAGTTGGGATTGTCCGATTAATTATGTAGCTCTTTATTTTTTAGTTCAAGAAAGGAGAAATCAAGAAAAGTATAAAAAGAGCATTGAATCTACTTTTTTGGTCATATCATGTTAGTTCGAGAGTTCTTTTCCGGATTTGGATCATATCATAATAGTTGAACTTAACGGGAGTAGGCTAGTGTATCGACGTTCACTTGAGAACACAACCGAGCCACTATATTGCAAGACTAGCAGTGGTATACTTGCTATTGTTAGGGTTAAGAGTTGGTTTACATAATTTTTGTTACTCGATCTCACGTGTAGAATTATTAACTGTGACTGGGTGGTGATTTGTTTTGATGGTTTGGATCATACCAAACCGAATTACTATTTCGTTCGAACTTTATTTCTATTAGAGGAGTATTAAGGATCGAGTTTAATCGGGTTCGGTTCAATTTTGACCAAACCAACCGAATGCATGCCCCTACTCTTCACCATGGTTGTCACACCGGTAGAATGTCGGCTGATTGAACCTGGTATAACTGGTGTCGAGTATTAAACTGGCTGGAATACTACCGTTATGACAGACATGATCGATTTCCGACCTCTAAACAAAATGACACTGTTATGTGAATTCAAATAACAAAAACAATTAATTTGTGATTTATTTCATGCATTTGAAAGTTAAATGTTGATATTATTTAAAGGATTCAAGTATAAATATTGGGGTATTGACGTTAGATTTTGTATTTAAATATGAGTATTTGTTATTTTGTTTGAAATGTTGTATTTTATTTAAGGGCTAATACCACTGGGAAACCCGAACTATCAAGAAAGTGTCACTTGTGTTCCGAACTATTCAATATGACATTTATGACTTGAAATATTTTCCATTAGCATTGACCGAGTTTGACCGTAAGTATCTAACAAAAAATTTAGCCAGTGTCGACATGGCATCTGATATGGAATTTTAAATATTAATTTGTATTTATATTTTCACCTAAAATGATTAAAATAAGAAAAATAAAAAATACAAAAATCCCCAAATAGTCTTAATCGCTCCGTCGATTCCGCTTCTAAGTCAACCTCAAGTTGACCACCGTCTGATCAACCATTTTCTATTAAGGTTAACAAAATCTTTAGGACATAAATGACACACAATTATCATACGTTGGGACATAAATGAAATATTGAATAGTTCGGGATACAAATGACACTTTGTTGATAGTTCAGGGGTTTTAATGGTATTAGCCCTTTATTTAAATATAAATGTAAATTATAAGTAGATTTTGTTCAAATATTTTTTTATATATCTGAATTCATTTGATGATAATAATTTCTTACATTTTATATATTTTGTTAAATCGGTATGAAGGTTACTAATAGGGGTGTTCAAAAGGATTGGTTACCGTGGTAACCATATTAACCGGTAGTATTCGATTAATTTGGATAATTGGTTTGGTTTGGTTAAACAATTTAGCTTATTTGGTTTATGTGGTTTGGTTTGGTTTCAACACTGCTAACCAATGAAACTAATTAACCAATTAATGATACACCTAATATACAAAATTATTTATACTTTCATGCAACCAAACCAAACTTTCGTGATTCCCTATTTTATTTCGATGTGCACCACAAACCAAAGCATTATGGGTAAAAAATTAAATGGGTTGCCTATTTACTAAACCAAAACATTTTGGACAGCTACTAGACTGTAGGATTACGTAAAATACCATGACAACCACCTCAAGCTATGTATAGTTTTAAGTGTTTTTTTTATGGGAGCTGTAACTTCCTGATGAGTGGTATTGGTATGTATTTAATATGTATGTTCCGGGTTTGTTGTAAGCTAACTATATTAGGTGCAGAGATGATGAATGCTGTATTAACTCGAATGATGATGATAATCATGGATGGTTAATCTTATTATTATTGCTTATATATAATGATAGTTTATGATAGTAATAACATATAGTTATGTTTTATTTATTAACAGGATAATTATTTTCATGTAATGTTATGTTAATTATTTCATTAATTCGATTATCCAATTAACCAACCAATTAAACTTTGGTTTGGTTAATTTAATTTGCGTGTTAATTTGGACAGTTTGGTTAAGATATTTTATTCCATGGTTAATGAAATTTAGGCTTAATTGATTTGATTATTACCACGGTAACCATTTGAACGCATGTAGTTGCTAAACCATTGCAATTTGCAAGGTATAAAGCGGTATGACAAACGTGCTCTACGCCACACCAAAGCTTTGAACAAGGGAAAATTGGGGCGAAAAAAGAATAGGTGTGAAGGGTGGAAGAAGATCAGGAGTAACTAGAAGATAAACTAGAAGAAGAAGGGAGCCGTTGAAATAGGAACAGAAAAGCTGGCGGGATCTATCGTGATCTCTGCAATATGACCGATCCAAGTTTGGAACTGAAGGAATCAGGTTGGGAAGAGCTCAGGCGAGAGGCTCGTAAGATCGAGGGAGATCTCGACGTCAAGCTCTCTTCTTATGCTAAGCTCGGCGCCCGCTTCACCCAAGCAGGTCATCACCCTTCTTCTTCCCTTCCTTCCTTGCTTCAGTTGCATCAGTTTTCCGAATTCTCTGATCTATTATTGTGGCCAAATGCATTTCTACCCTTTGGTTATGGCGGATTACAACGTAATCTTGGGGGACATTGCTGGATCCACTGAATTGTAGTCCTTCAATAGGTTCCCGGAATTGATTGTTGTTGTAGTTGTTTCCATTTTGTAGAGTTGTAAACAGAAAGTGGAACTGTGGGGTTTTCGCTAGTTTAAGCTCCGGATTAATTCGCTTGGCTGGAACTGAAAATCAGCTGGTGGGTCCTCTTTGTATTTTACTCTAGCGGCTCTCCGACAGTTGATCTTTTGATTATGTGCCATGTTATTCGGATTAGACCTACTGTGGGGAGTGTGTGATTGGAAGCAGCTGAATAGTCGATGTAAAAAGCGCTAGGATCCTAATTCCACTTGCCACTCAACAACATTCACATAACTGGAAGGCTCATTTCGCAGTAATTTTTAAATTGGATATCTGGTCTGGGTCCTTCCTGTTAGTCTCATCAACTGGATCAAGTTATGTACTTGAATCGCTATGCTGTTGCTTTTCCATTTGGAGGCATACTTCAGGCACTCAAATGGTGCCAATATTGGGCATTAGGATATTGCTGCTTCATGGGTTTGCACTGTTTGACTTGGCTAGGAGCTTAATGCTATTGTCGATCTGCTACTTCAGTTAGTCCTTTGACTCTTCCCATTTGAAACTTTTTGGTTTTGTAAGTTGGTGCCTCTTGAGTAACGAGTTGATATCATTATCTCGCTAGTGTGCTGTGCTGTGCTGTTCCTCCGTTCTTATAAATTCTCTTCTTTTATTGTGTGTCAAAATGATGAAATTTGGATTCAGGTTATGTAGAGTCTGCTTCACCAACTGTTGCGTCAGGTAGATCATGGAAGTCTATGGAGATGGAAATCCAGTCGCTGCTTGAGAAGCTATTAGATATTAATGATTCTATGAGTAGATGCGCAGCAACTGCAGCTCCAACTACTTCAGTGACCCAAAAGCTTGCAAGACATAGAGACATACTCCATGAGTTTACTCAGGTTTGCCATCTCCTTTTCTGGTTTCTGTTGTTTTCTAGCCTTTTCCATAAAAGATCAACTACATTCGCAAGATTAGAATGGAAAATTTACTGGATGGTTGGGTCTTTCCTTTAGAATTTTATTACTGCTTCAATGTGTTCCTGTCTGTTTCAATAAGGAGTAATATACGAGTGCTAATATCTGGATAGATTACTGTCTTAAAAGAATTTTCTATGAAGCCCTTGGGAGAAACAGCTGTCACTTTTTTCTATTAAGATATCGTCGAGCACTGTTTCCTGCTCTTTAGGATGTGGGCAAGAGAAGTTTGCTTAGTAAATTGACCATGTTTCCAGTCTGTTCTTGACTATTGGTTGTCTATAACAACTTGAACGAACAATTTCCTTCAAAGGAAAAGTTTTGGTGGTTATTGACTGGGCTGTTTCACAGATCGTGTGTTTTCTTGAATGCATTTAATATTTTCTCTTGCTTTCTCATTATGCTTGAATTCTAGAGATCCCCACTCCAAATGCTGCGCTTATTAATATTTTGGGTAACTACTGCTAATAGTCAATAATTTCACTATAGGAATTCAGACGAATCAAGGCAAACATAAACTCAATGAAGGAGCACGCTGAATTACTTATATCAGTCAGAGATGATATAAGCGAGTACAAGGTGAGATTAAAAAAAATATCTTCATTGTTTTCTGGGTCTTCTAATCATCATGCTTTCAGTTCACATGTAAAGAACTCAAATTATCATCGGTTCTGAAAGTAGAGTTCTCCTTCCTTTTGTGCAGGCTTCTGGAAGCATGTCCCCAAGAATGCAAATATTACGTGAAAGAGCTGCCATACATGGAAACATTTCACATGTAATGAGTTTTTGTTATGAATCACTGTGTTAAACATGAACTCTCATAGTTTACTAGGAAGTGTTCGAATCATCTATCTGATTGTGAGCTACTGGGATAAATGCTCTTAGACCCTAAACTGGCTGTGGAATGATTATCGTGCTGGGAATGCACAAACTTGAGGATGTAAATTTGTTTTCAGCTTTCTGCTGTTTGGACCTTCTAGCCTTGTACTGATCCACAAGGTTTCTATGCTCTCATGTATGCAGATAGATGATGTTATTAGTCAAGCTCAGGCAACCAGAGCAGTCTTGGGGACTCAAAGGTCTATGCTTGGAGATGTTCAAGGCAAAGTGAAACAGCTAAGCGACAAGTTCCCAATCATACGTGGTTTACTTGGTATTTTACCCATCTCTGCGGTTCAAGTTTCTCTATTTCTGGATACTAGCTCAACCTTTCTTTTGGTTAACGCATTACCCATTTCTTTCTCTTCAAGGTTCTATCAAGAGACGCCGTTCGAGAGACACTCTTATTCTCTCAGCTGTAATTGCAGCTTGTACGTTGTTTCTCATCATCTATTGGCTCTCAAAATGATGCTTGTCACTTACAGATTACAGAGTTCCAGAAAATGATGGTTCACTTGCAAAGTAATTTTGCTTTAATTGCCAATTAGGATCCGGAAGATCATATGTATTGAATCCTTTTGTGTACCTTAGATGGCATTTTTTTTTTGTCCAAGATAAGCCAAGAAGGCCCTTAGATGACATTTCAGTTACAAATGTATGTAAAAATTCTTTTTGGACTTTCGTAGTGCTAGAGTTTGCAACCAGGGTTAGAAAAAGGAAGAAGGCGGCAAGAACGATTGGGGAATCCCTTTCTCTTGTTTATATAGTTGAGTGAAACCGGAGTAAAAGCTATATTGGAAGAGTTATTGATAGGGTATTTTCATTTTTATTAAAATCGTGGTTCAATCGTTTCATAACACTAAAATCGTCTATTGTTTGGGGTCTAGTATATGGTATTTTTAATTGAAATAGAAAAATACTATGTGACGAGGATTTCTTCAGTAGAAATTCCTTAGCAATTTACGTCATAATAATTGAACCGTAAATGAAAGAAATAGAGTTAGATTGAAGAGAATTGTGATGAAAGGACTAAAACTCTGGAACTTCTTGGAATTTCAATATTCAATCTGACATCAAACGAATGAGCAAGTACATATTTATAGACATAATGACCTCAAAATGTCTTTTCTTCTCTCCTTGGATTCTGCTCTTACTCTCATTTTTCCTACCCAAAATAACAAGGAAACTAGAATCTAATACTAAACAAATAGCAAAAGGTAATTTAAATCCTACTAGAACAATGAAAACTACAAATATGACTAATATCCCAAATAATAATAAAATACCAACTAATTACTAAAATATACACAAGCCAAAAATTTCCTAATTATTAGGATGACTTGATTCTCGAAACAATCCTCCACCGTTAAGCGTAACCTTGTCCTCAAGGTTAGTCATCTTAATGGATGAATTGACCTTCCTCTTCATCGTCGCATGCGCCAATCATGAGTAGCACGTTTTTATTGGTAGAGGGATGGTGAATCGTGAAGCACTCATCACAATAGAAGCAGAGTCCTTTTTCCCTTCGTCGTGTTACTTTGTCCGGTGACATCCTTAGAGAATTGGAGTTGCGCGATGATGCCATTCGAGGTGCTCCTTGTAGTGGTTCGACCACCGCCTTCATTGGTGCTCGTAGTGGATTCTGTTGCACTACTTGATACTTTGTCAATTATTCGTTCTTCACCTTGGCAAATCGAATGGCCTGCCTCACAATTTCTCGGTTGAACATGCGGATTGCATGAAAATTTTCATATTTGATCCACCAATACCTCTTTCGCCCATCCATAGCATTGATAACCCATCTCTCAAACGTAAACAGATAGTCACTCAAAGACCCACTTTATTTGAACTTTGTGAGAGCTTCGTGACTAGACGCGCTATCCGAAATTCCAAATCTTGCCCATGATTTTGTTAGAAACAAAGAAGTTTCACAGGGGAATTAGGGATTGAGAAGAGAAGAAATTAGGGATTTGGAAGAGATTGGGGAAGAACAAGAGAGAGAGAATTGATAATTTAGGAATTTTGATTGAATAGTTGATAATTGACTATTTGAAAAAAATATTGTTCTCGCATCTTAAATACTAAACAGAAATAAGCAAAATAACCAAACTGCCACTCCCTTTCACTCGGCCGAGTCGGCCACCCCAGCCCGTCGGTTTCTAACAAATTCTTCTCGAAACTGAGCACCAACACTAGACTTCCCCTTGAGATTCAAAGCATACCAATGTGTAGATAATCACTCCATAATCAATACAAGCCATTAATCTTGAATTTCCATTGAGCCAATTGAGAGAACCATGCCTCCAAAGTGGGTACCATGAACTCGGAAAATAACTTAGCCAAATTCTGCCTTTCTTCTTCCCAACTTCGATAGCTTCTTCGTCAAGTAATTTTGGCTTGTTGATTAACCGATTTGGGATCATATCACGTTCTCTGATTAGTCCTAGAGGCATTGTAGAGGATAATCTAGTGCGGGTGGGAACTTTTTATTATTCCACGGATTTTATTATCCTTGACATAAGTGAAGATGCCAATATGCGCCTCATACTAGGACGCCCCTTCCTTGCCACCACCAAGGTTTTAATCGATGTTAATGTGGGCACATTGATCTTAAGAGATGGGGAGCACCAAATTACTTTTTCGATTGACCATGAGGGTGAGCATGATGATGTTAAAGAATGGAAAAGAATGGTATGTTTGGAAGTGGAGGTGAGCCACTAAATGCGAACCCCACTAGTGCTCTTGCTCCTTGTGATGATGTGAAACAAGGACCTAAGGATGGTACCAAACCCGAAGGAAAGCAAAGTAAAGCTTGGAGTGAGAAGATGAGCTGCGCTTTTACCCAAAAGAAGGACAAGGGTAAAGCAAATGTACCCGGCCAAGAGTGCCATCCTTTGGAGCTTAAGATGGGAGGTGACAAGCCTCACCTCGAAACTGTGGCGGATCCACTCTCGGAGGCCTAGTTCTCACAAGCATGAAGGATCCACAACGTCGAGCTAGAGACGTTAAACTAGCACTTGTTGGAAGGCAACCCAACGTAGGTTTGTGTTTCTTTTCCTTATTTTCTCTTTTTGATTGAGTGATGAGTCCAAGTAGTTAAATGGTGATCACTGTGCCAGTGTTGTGTTTTTGAAAGTTTTGGATGTTTCGTAATTGAGTTAGGGGCATGGTTAATTAGATCGAGTCTTGAGAGTTTGCAAAATGCCCTGTTTTTATGCACTTTACGGTTTTAACCCTATTATCATGGTCGTCAGACCATGATAATGAGGTTGAGATTGTGATCTCGAAAGGCTTTTCCACGACTTGTTAACATCACGGATAGAAGGAGATTATCACGGTCAACTAACTCTGATAATTGACTGACCGTGATGTTGACCCAAAACTCACCATTTTGTTTGGGATCACGATCGATGAGTTATTATCACGATATGTTGACCATGAAAATTGACCCCTGTCTGTTAATCTCAGGATCGGGCTATATAAAAGGGACTGTGATCCCTCAGTCTTCAGAAACATTTTCTTGCCGGAATCTCTGAATCTCGCCAGAAAATCGTGATTTCAATCCATTTTTTTCGCGTTCGTCAACTTCCGGCCATCCATTTTAAAAAAAAAATTAGAAATACATTCCTCATTTCCGGGCGCCTCTTTGTCAAAGTTCTGGAGCAATTTGGCGCAACGTTTTTCTCCAGTGTGCTTTCGGCAAGCCTCTCCGGCCTGTTTTTCAGCCATTTTTTACTCCCTCACCAACTCCTCCCCTTCCCCTTCGATCCTACTTGGGTCTTCAGGTGTGTTTTGGACTTTTACCTTGTTAATTTTGGAGAATCGGATTAGGGTGCTTAGGTAAGGGGATTTTGTGGATTTATGCATGAATGTTGAAATTGGGCGAGGGGTTAGTCGATTTTTTATGATTGAATGATGCATAAAGTGATTTTGGAATGAATTGAGTCGTGTTGGGCTAGATTGTATATGATTTGTGTTTGAATTGGAAAATGCCCACCAATTGCAAATGTGAATGAATGTTTGGTCCACTTTTATGCATGAAGGTTGGTGACCATCAAGGAATGTTATAGGTTCTAAAGTGAAACTTTGAATAACTATAAATTGCCTAGAATCATGCCTTGATGTGTCTTGTGTGGTAATGAGTTTAATCGTTTGAAAACCGATCATGTGAAAAGCCTTTGACGACATATGACCATAGTGGAATCCTAAGTCTGGGCGACGAGAGGTATGGTAACGATTTCGAGCAATGGAGATACAATGAAGTGGGACCTCATTGGTTCCTGGATATGGACATGTTTACCATGTTCCGATGCAGAGCCGCAATGTCTGGGGTGCTCATTCATCCCCAGTGGTGCAACCTCCTGTCCATCGACGATCTCATCTATAGAGAGGTGTGTGTGGAGCTCTACTCCACTTTCATTCACGAGGTGCCCACCAACAAGCGTAACCGCTCGTACGTGGATTTTATGCTCGAGGAACATCACCACATATTGACCTATGACGGTTTTACTCAGGCCATGAGTCTCGACACCACTTTGATAACCATGTCGGAGAGGGAGTATGCTAGAGACTTCAAGCATCATGAATCATACCTAACTATTTGCCACCAGGAGCACCAAGGTCACCAGTTTTGAGTAGCGAACACCAATGCATTCAAGCTCCAGACCCCATGGAGGATCCTACATATGCTGCTCACCCGCTCTATGGTCCCCAGTCTGCAGCCTGGGCACATAGTCACCAATATAGGGTTGATGGCCCTCCATACTATGAGCCGACCACTCTATCTTGGTTAAGTGATTGCTACCACTTTTGCAAGAATGCTAGCTCGAGATCGAGTGGACACGATGAATTTGGGGGGGGGGGGGGGCATCATCCCAAGGCCGCGAATACACAAGGTTCTCTACCTAAGTGGCTCGTTCCTATGCCTTGATGGAGTGGATGGCCCGATGTTCGGGCATCATTAGCGAGGAAGATAGGGACCCATCTACGTCCTGTGAGAGGTAGACGACCGAGTGAGACATGTGGCTGAGCCGATTTCTTTTGCCCCACTTCTCCACTTAAAACTCTGAACTCTGTTTTTATTATTATTTAGTATGAAAAGGTACTATAGTGATTTTTCTTCTTTTAATCGTGATGTTGGGTAATGTTATGTGTAATAACCTCGCCTTGTGTGAGAAAGTTTGTGTGTTTGCTTGTGTTTACTTCTTCTTTTTTAAGCTTCCAAATCTCCTACCCCAATCTATGTCCAACTTTCACTTGCCATTATTCGGTAACTTCTTCACCCTACCCTTATTCTCCATTAAGGACAATGTCGTGCTTAAGTGTTGGGGGTGTATTATCATTTGTGATTGACATGTGAATGTGTGTGAATGAATGCTTGATCAAAGTGCCGATTTGTGGAGAATATTGTGTTTTTTTGTAGAAATATGGACTTTATTCGTCATATATCATAGTATTAATAATACGGGAAGTTGAAGTTCCCATGACATCATACAAAAGCCAGTAATCCAGTTCAGGGTCGCACACATTGAACTGATGTATGCCAAAATTCATTGCATGACCCTTAGAGGCCAAAAAATTGGTTGAGCAATTACAATCTCTATAAATATTATTAATCTTAACCTCCCACTCACGATCCAAAAGTGATCCAAGTCTCGTCGTAATCATTCCATGGAGGTGATTTTTATCCTTCCAGTTCTTAATAATCCTGATAGTTGTAGTGGAGTCTAAGTTTAACTCTACCTTCCTATATCCCTTCTGTCAAGCAATATCAAGGACAAAGCTGGATCCTTTAAGCTATTGTATTGTGATAGAGTATGTGCCTAAATTGCAGGTGAAAGCAGCGTCACAACGTCCAAGCCAATCTCTAAGAAGACCTCCGACAACTGCTTTGCCTGTGCCAGGGCACACCGACCCATCAATTTGGAGTTGTTCCATTCCTGTCGTGGAGGGCTCTAACCAATATCTTTCCTCTGTGAGGTCATCAAATTGGGGTTGATGGTCTTTCTCTCAATTTTTTTTTGCGCTTGGTAGAAAATTTTAGTCCATGCCCTGATCTTGTAGATGAGTCTCTCCTTGTTGTAGACTTTTCTATCCATAACTTCCTCATTACGTTGCTTCCAAAGCATCCAACAAATGATGTCGAAGTCGATTCCAGCATCGTGATCCTTGATATTGTCCTTGATCCACTTCTAGAACTCTAAATCATTCTTGTCTGCGGTGACCTTGTCTTTGAAGTGCGCCCAGATCCCTGTTGTCTTTTTTGCATCTGCACAGAATGTGCTCAACAGTCTCCTCTTCATCGGTGCAGAACTTGCAGTTTCCGTTGCTTGTCAGTTGCCTCTTCTTTCTTTATGCATTTGTAATAAGCCTATTGTTTGATACCAACCAAAGGAAGAGCTTCACCCGATTTGGTCCTTTCCAATGCCAAATGTCGTCCTAAGAGTCTTGCAGATCTTCCTCCATTTCTTCCATAATCAGCAGGTAGGCAGAGCGGAGTCTGAACCTTACATCTTTCTCTATCCTCCAGACTGTGATATCCTCTCCCAACTCAGCCTTAGGAGGTTCCATCCATGCTAATAGAGATACAAACCTTTAATTAACTAGGGTAGTGTAGTTAGGTTAGTTAGCTTAATCACTATTCTAGGTTGGCTAGATAACAAAACTTAAGCCGAAGTAACGTACATCTAGAGATCTATGGTTCGATAATTTTATTACTTGCTTACCCTATGTTACACTCAGTTGTTGGTTAAACTTGACCTCCGATTGGGAAGTTGTAGTTAGAGCGAGTAATTGTCCCTTCATTTTTTTCCTCGACGGGTATGTTTGTTGTTGTACGTTGTGTCGGTGCTGCACTATCCTTAGCCTTTGTCGTTTGCTCCTTTTAGAACCGTGTTATCAATCCCTGAATATCTAAAAATTGAGGCCTGCAGATGGACCACAAATGTAGTAATGGCAATTGGGTGTAGCGGGGCAGGGACCTCAATACACATACCCGTCCCGCAATAAGCACGTGTCAGGTCAGGGAATACCCATGCCGCGACATAGGTACAGGGTAGGTGGGTCGACCCACTCTTATATGTTATTTGAATATGGAACATCAATATTTATCACTTCTATAATAATACATAAAAGAACACTTCTAAATGAATACAAGATATAGTATAAGAAATAATTGAGTCTAGATAGTTGAAAGATAGAGGTTTCAAATTTCTTAGGGATGAAAATATGACTTTAGAAAGGTAAAAAAGGGAGTTAGATATAGATATTGATGTAAATCATCATATAATGGATTAAGAATCGGGGGGACGAGACGATGCAGCTAAGATGCATTAAACATGTCCCTCCCCCACGGTACTGCGGGTTGGATAATATCCACCCCAAACTGGTTGGGTCAAATCGGGTCGTGCGGATCTCGTTAGAAATGGCCATCTCTACATGGACGCTTCCTGCTGCGCTGATCGCTGTCATGATCGAGCTTTAAATTTCTAAAGTCGAAACGCACTTATGTCAATCCTAGCAAAGCCAATTATAACTGAGCTAGGGATGTAGTAAAGTGGCTCGGTCGTATTCCAAGGGAACCTTAGCTTACTAATACTTTGCTCCGAACTATTATGCTACATCCGGGTTTTGGTTAAACTTGGCCTTCGATTGGGAATTTGTAGTTAGAGGGAGTCAAGTTTTTTTTTGGCATCGTTGGTGGGGAAAAGGCTTGGGTTTGTTACTTTAGCTGGTTTTTGTTTGTTTGTTTTTTTGTGTTTAGTTTGTGTCTTATTAACCCACTATTTGTATTGAAGGGTGGTTTGTGTGTGTTCGATTGTCCTTTTAGTGTTTTTCTGTTTGTTGGTTGAATCATGGATCCCAATTGCTTCTACAACATGTGGGGATATTCACAACCACCCAAATGGGGGTACCCCGGAGTTTCATAGAGTAATCAAGAGGGTGGAATGCAAGGGACCGGGTTCTATGATCAAACTCCCTTTAGGGAAGAGCAACCATATCAATTGGTATATCAAGAAGCTTCCACATACCAAGAAGATTTCCTTCCACGACTCGTGGTGAACTCCAAGTTGGAGTTGGCCATGGAGGCTTTCATGGGGTATTTTTCAAGACCATACGCCACTCCAAAACCAGAGCCATAGAGCGAATTGAAGCTCATGGTTGGATATTTTCCCAGGGCACCAACGAAGTATTCTCCATTGTGGATGTTCCATTTGCCGACCATATCGACTCATTCTTCCAATGGATATCAGAGGAGATTATTTGGAAGAACGAGCCACGTCATAGATTTCCAACCCCTTCCTCCTCCCGAATTGACATTACAAAAGAAAGGGGTACTAGGTTGTGCACACCATCACCTCTCACCATTGGGAGAGAAAGAGGAGGTTTAAAGGACGACCAATGAGGACTTTGGGGAGCAAGAACTCCTCTCGGAGTGCACCTGAGATGATGAGGAGAAATCAAGTCCTTTGGCAATTGAAACATTCCTACGTCTTCCGCTTTGATCTTAGAAGAGTTGTAGACAAAGGAGGAGATGCAAGAGGATCATATTGAAAACATTTCTTGGCAACTTGCTTTCCATTGCGGGCTTGAGAAAAAGCGGGAAAATACGGGAAGGGAAGTTGTGGAGGAGGAAGTAAGCATTGTAGAAGAGGAAGATCTTGATTGTTCTCTGATTTGGACCTAAATGTACACTTCTCGTCCCCATTTATCTTTGGCGTTTGTGGCATTTGAGCTCCAAAAGGTGTGGTTTTATGCTAGGTTTGCCGTGTTTCAGTGTGTTCCAGAATCTAACAGGTGAAACTAACCCCGAAGTTGATTGTTGGAAGAAAAGTCATGAAGATCATACCAAAGGAGGAAGCAACCGAAGATCACGGTCCAGGAAGGGATTTCACGGTCATCAAGACCGTGAACTGGAGCCATAAATCGTGAACTGGCAGGGTTCCAGAGCGATTCTATAGGTTACTGGCATCAAGTCAGTTAACGGTCGCAAGACCGTGAACTGAAGTCATGGACCGTGAACCAGCTAAATGAAACGACGTGAATTGGTTTGAGTTAATGGTCTCCGCCATGAGTTCACAGTCGTGAACTGAGACCGTAAACTGGGCGCGATCTATGTATAAAATGAGAGCTGAAAAGAAGAAGAGAGGAGATCCCAAAGTGAGAGAAACCTTCTTCTTCTTCAAGAATCTAGAGAGAGAAAGCCACGAACCAAGAGGGAGAAGAAGCTAGGGTTGCTCCAAGTCAAGATTTGGGAAGTTCCTATTCAAGAGAGGATTACTGAAAACACAAGGGACGATTGAGGCATCACAATGATGGTTTTCCCCCTTTCCTTTGTGTTCTTCCTTCTTCTAGCATGGAGTAGTCCCTTATTCACTTGGGTGTTGTAGAACCCTAACTTCTACCATGTAGTTAATTGTGTGGATTGAATGATTGTGTGTAGGTGGTGTTTAATTTGAGATTTGAGGTATTTTCATGGTGATTGTGCATTGTGTGTGCTTGGCAATCTATTGTGCTATTCTACCCTAGCTTAGAGAGAAACCCCCTCATCTTAAGAGGCTCAAATTGAGTTGGGTTTTCTTGGGCATTCCATGCCTCCTATCTAGATTAATGTAGGGCAAATCTCTAAACTCAAATTGAATATCTAGGTTAATTTTGATTAAGCCGTCCAAACCCCCGGTTTGAGGGAGAAGGTAAGTCAACCCTCAATTGCTTGGGGCCAAGAGGGCTACATTTGTAGCCTATAATGCATTCCTTGGCCTAGCAATTGAAAGTGTGATTTCTAACCACTGTTGCTCCTCCTAGCGGTTCACAATCTCCTTTTCCTACACCGATTCATTCGATCCCATGGGTCGTGGTAGTTAGTTAGGGGGAAACAACTCCCGAGTGAAGCTTCTCACCAAGAG